TCTTTTTGCCCTAGCGCCTTTAGTTTAGCCAGAAAATGGACTTTTATGTTTTTACTCAAAATATAGAGTTTTGGTGGAAAAATCAAGTGATCACAGATTTTCTTTTTTTTTGCCCTAGCGCCTATAGTTTAGACAGAAAATGGACTTTTATGTTTTCACTCAAAATACAGGTTTTTGGTGGGAAAATAAAGTGATCACAGATTTTCTTTCTTTTTGCCCTAGCGCCTATAGTTTAGCCAGAAAATGGACTTTTATGTTTTCACTCAAAATATAGTTTTGGTGGGAAAACAAAGTGATCACAAATTTTCTTTCTTTTTGCCCTAGCGCCTTTAGTTTAGCCAGAAAATGGACTTTTATGTTTTCACTCAAAATATAGGTTTTTGGTGGGAAAACAAAGTGATCACAGATTTTCTTTCTTTTTGCCCTAGCGCCTTTAGTTTAGCCAGAAAATGGACTTTTATGTTTTCACTCGAAATATAGATTTTTAATGGAAAACAAAGTGATCACAGATTTTCTTTCTTTTTGCCCTAGCGCCTTTAGTTTAGCCAGAAAATGGACTTTTATGTTTTCACTCAAAATATAGATTTTTGATGGGAAAATAAAGTGATCACAGATTTTCTTTCTTTTTGCCCTAGCGCCTTTAGTTTAGCCAGAAAATGGACTTTTATGTTTTCACTCAAAATATAGATTTTTGGTGGGAAAATCAAGTGATCACAGATTTTCTTTCTTTTTGCCCTAGCGCCTTTAGTTTAACCAGAAAATGGACTTTTATGTTTTCACTCAAAATATAGATTTTTGGTGGGAAAATAAAGTGATCACAGATTTTCTTCCTTTTTGCCCTAGCGCCTATAGTTTAGCCAGAAAATGGACTTTTATGTTTTCACTCAAAATACAGAGTTTTGGTGGGAAATTAAAGTGATCACAGATTTTCTTTCTTTTTGCCCTAGCGCCTTTAGTTTAGCCAGAAAATGGACTTTTATGTTTTCACTCAAAATATAGAGTTTTGGTGGGAAAACAAAGTGATCACAGATTTTCTTTCTTTTTGCCCTAGCGCCTTTAGTTTAGCCAGAAAATGGACTTTTATGTTTTTACTCAAAATATAGAGTTTTGGTGGGAAAACAAAGTGATCACAGATTTTCTTTCTTTTTGCCCTAGCGCCTTTAATTTAGCCAGAAAATGGACTTTTATGTTTTCACTCAAAATATAGATTTTTAATGGAAAACAAAGTGATCACAGATTTTCTTTCTTTTTGCCCTAGCGCCTATAGTTTAGCCAGAAAATGGACTTTTATGTTTTCACTCAAAATATAGTTTTGGTGGGAAAACAAAGTGATCACAGATTTTCTTTCTTTTTGCCCTAGCGCCTTTAGTTTAGCCAGAAAATGGACTTTAATGTTTTCACTCAAAATATAGGTTTTTGGTGGGAAAACAAAGTGATCACAGATTTTCTTTCTTTTTGACCTAGCGCCTATAGTTTAGCCAGAAAATGGACTTTTATGTTTTCACTCGAAATATAGATTTTTAATGGAAAACAAAGTGATCACAGATTTTCTTTCTTTTTGCCCTAGCGCCTATAGTTTAGCCAGAAAATGGACTTTTATGTTTTCACTCAAAATATAGATTTTTGGTGGGAAAATAAAGTGATCACAGATTTTCTTTCTTTTTGCCCTAGCGCCTATAGTTTAGCCAGAAAATGGACTTTTATGTTTTCACTCAAAATATAGTTTTGGTGGGAAAACAAAGTGATCACAAATTTTCTTTCTTTTTGCCCTAGCGCCTTTAGTTTAGCCAGAAAATGGACTTTTATGTTTTCACTCAAAATACAGAGTTTTGGTGGGAAATTAAAGTGATCACAGATTTTCTTTCTTTTTGCCCTAGCGCCTTTAGTTTAGCCAGAAAATGGACTTTTATGTTTTCACTCAAAATATAGAGTTTTGGTGGGAAAACAAAGTGATCACAGATTTTCTTTCTTTTTGCCCTAGCGCCTTTAGTTTAGCCAGAAAATGGACTTTTATGTTTTTACTCAAAATATAGAGTTTTGGTGGGAAAACAAAGTGATCATAGATTTTCTTTCTTTTTGCCCTAGCGCCTTTAATTTAGCCAGAAAATGGACTTTTATGTTTTCACTCAAAATATAGATTTTTAATGGAAAACAAAGTGATCACAGATTTTCTTTCTTTTTGCCCTAGCGCCTATAGTTTAGCCAGAAAATGGACTTTTATGTTTTCACTCAAAATATAGTTTTGGTGGGAAAACAAAGTGATCACAGATTTTCTTTCTTTTTGCCCTAGCGCCTTTAGTTTAGCCAGAAAATGGACTTTAATGTTTTCACTCAAAATATAGGTTTTTGGTGGGAAAACAAAGTGATCACAGATTTTCTTTCTTTTTGCCCTAGCGCCTATAGTTTAGCCAGAAAATGGACTTTTATGTTTTCACTCAAAACATAGATTTTTAATGGAAAATAAAGTGATCACAGATTTTCTTTCTTTTTGCCCTAGCGCCTATAGTTTAGCCAGAAAATGGACTTTTATGTTTTCACTCAAAATATAGTTTTGGTGGGAAATTAAAGTGATCACAGATTTTCTTTCTTTTTGCCCTAGCGCCTTTAGTTTAGCCAGAAAATGGACTTTTATGTTTTCACTCAAAATATAGGTTTTTGGTGGGAAAACAAAGTGATCACAGATTTTCTTTCTTTTTGCCCTATCGCCTATAGTTTAGCCAGAAAATGGACTTTTATGTTTTCACTCGAAATATAGATTTTTAATGGAAAACAAAGTGATCACAGATTTTCTTTCTTTTTGCCCTAGCGCCTATAGTTTAGCCAGAAAATGGACTTTTATGTTTTCACTCAAAATATAGATTTTTGGTGGGAAAATAAATTGATCACAGATTTTCTTTCTTTTTGCCCTAGCGCCTATAGTTTAGCCAGAAAATGGACTTTTATGTTTTCGCTCAAAATATAGTTTTGGTGGGAAATTAAAGTGATCACAGATTTTCTTTCTTTTTGCCCTAGCGCCTTTAGTTTAGCCAGAAAATGGACTTTTATGTTTTCACTCAAAATATAGAGTTTTGGTGGGAAAACAAAGTGATCACAGATTTTCTTTCTTTTTGCCCTAGCGCCTTTAGTTTAGCCAGAAAATGGACTTTTATGTTTTTACTCAAATTATAGAGTTTTGGTGGGAAAACAAAGTGATCACAGATTTTCTTTCTTTTTCCCTAGCGCCTTTAGTTTAGCCAGAAAATGGATTTTTATGTTTTCACTCAAAATATAGATTTTTAATGGAAAACAAAGTGATCACAGATTTTCTTTCTTTTTGCCCTAGCGCCTATAGTTTAGCCAGAAAATGGACTTTTATGTTTTCACTCAAAATATAGATTTTTAATGGAAAGTAAAGTTATCACAGATTTTCTATCTTTTCGCCCTAGTACCTTTAGTTTAGCCAGAAAATGGACTTTTATGTTTTCACTCAAAATATAGAGTTTTGGTGGGAAAATAAAGTGATCACAGATTTTCTTTCTTTTTGCCCTAGCGCCTTTAGTTTTGCCAGAAAATGGACTTTTATGTTTTCACTCAAAATATAGAGTTTTGGTGAGAAAATAAAGTGATCACAGATTTTCTTTCTTTTTGCCCTAGCGCCTTTAGTTTAGCCAGAAAATGGACTTTTATGTTTTCACTCAAAATATAGATTTTTGGTGGGAAAATAAAGTGATCACAGATTTTCTTTCTTTTTGCCCTAGCGCCTATAGTTTAGCCAGAAAATGGACTTTTATGTTTTCACTCAAAATATAGAGTTTTGGTGGGAAAACAAAGTGATCACAGATTTTCTTTCTTTTTGCCCTAGCGCCTTTAGTTTAGCCAGAAAATGGACTTTTATGTTTTTACTCAAAATATAGAGTTTTGGTGGGAAAACAAAGTGATCACAAATTTTCTTTCTTTTTCCCTAGCGCCTTTAGTTTAGCCAGAAAATGGATTTTTATGTTTTCACTCAAAATATAGATTTTTAATGGAAAACAAAGTGATCACAGATTTTCTTTCTTTTTGCCCTAGCGCCTATAGTTTAGCCAGAAAATGGACTTTTATGTTTTCACTCAAAATATAGAGTTTTAATGGGAAAATAAAGTGATCGCAGATTTTCTTTGTTTTTGCCCTAGCGCCTTTAGTTTAGCCAGAAAATGGACTTTTATGTTTTCACTCAAAATATAGAGTTTTGGTGGGGAAATAAAGTGATCACAGATTTTCTTTCTTTTTGCCCTAGCGCCTTTAGTTTAGCCATAAAATGGACTTTTATGTTTTCACTCAAAATATAGAGTTTTGGTGGGAAAATAAAGTGATCACAGATTTTCTTTCTTTTTGCCCTAGTGCCTATAGTTTAGCCAGAAAATAGACTTTTATGTTTTCACTCAAAATATAGGTTTTTGGTGGGAAAATAAAGTGATCACAGATATTCTTGCTTTTTGCCCTAGCGCCTATAGTTTAGACAGAAAAATATAGATTTTGGTGGGAATATAAAGTGATCACAGATTTTCTTTCTTCTTTCAAAATATAGAGTTTTGGTGGGAAATTAAAGTGATCACAGATTTTCTTTCTTTTTGCCCTAGCGCCTATAGTTTAGACAGAAAATGGACTTTTATGTTTTCACTCAAAATATAGAGTTTTGGTGGGAATTTCTTTCTTTTTGCCCTAGCGCCTATAGTTTAGCCAGAAAATGGAATTTTATGTTTTCACTCAAAATATAGAGTTTTGGTGGGAAAACAAAGTGATCACAGATTTTCTTTCTTTTTGCCCTAGCGCCTTTAGTTTAGCCAGAAAATGGACTTTTATGTTTTCACTCAAAATATAGAGTTTTGGTGGGAAAACAAAGTGATCACAGATTTTCTTTCTTTTTGCCCTAGCGCCTATAGTTTAAACAGAAAATAGACTTTTATGTTTTCACTCAAAATATAGAGTTTTGGTGGGAAAATAAAGTGATCACAGATTTTCTTTCCTTTTTGTTTTGTTCACTAAAAGTTTAATAAATTGCTATTACTTACCCTTATAGCAGCCTCCTGCAGCTCACAGCTATTGTTCTTATCCATAAAATAGTTATAAATCAAATTCGCCGTCTGAGGCTCATGCAACAGTAATATCAATTGATCACGGCAATTTTTCCCCTTTATATGCATGGTCATCATATCCAAAAACTCGATCAAAACATGTTCCTGTTTTACTGAAGCCAAAAATGCTATTATCGAACCAATTTCTTTAATATTAACATCCTTTTGCAAATAGAAACGTATTATGGCAAATATGGTGGAACGTATAGTTTTAGCATCTTCGGGCGTTATGCTCTCAGGAGTGCCATAGTGTTGACGTATAACATCGAGGAAAAATTGTATGCCAAACTTTTTGCGAAAATATTTACGATCATTTTTAATCATGGCACCCAGATACTGGACATGACCTAGGGTAATTTGGAAGGGCATGTGAACCCATATATCGAAATTAAAAGCTATTGAAGTATAAAGATCATCTAGTAGGGGCAGATTAGATTGTCCCGTTGAGGATTTATGGCCTTGTATGGATTCCATAAACAAGTGAGTGGCCATTAAGGCATTAACATCAAAGATTTTGGCAGGACATTTTTGCAACATCATGCCTATAATGGAGAGACACTCACTGTTGAGCAAATTTTCCTGATTATTGTCATGTTCATGGGTTAAGTAGCGTAGAAAACACATAAAACTGGCTATGGGAAATTGTACCATTTTCCATTCGGTATATGAGTTTGAAGATAATACCTCCCAATCGGCAAATTCCTCTGTCACGGGAGTTTTTAAAGGTTCTGTAGGTTCTTCTGTAGAATCTGAGGCTGCAGCAGATAGAGAGAATTCGCTATTATTCTCTTTTATTATACGATGTAATATGGGTAATATAGCTTGTATACCACCCACACTATTAATGGTATCACGTATTTTGACAATATGACAATGTTGAGCCTGCACTAGACCCAAATAACGTCCGCTGGGTATTAAATCCAAACAGGTATTATGGGTATAGGCAGCCGGTGAGTAACAGAAAACAAATCTTGATGTCAATTCCAAAATATCATTGTCTTGTGAGAATATAGAGCTGAAATGTATGCCAGCATCGAATATTGTTTTAAGGTTAGTGGTAGGTTCAGCCAATAATACGCCACCAATTTGTCCGTAGAGACATTTTTGTTCTCCAAATACCGTCTCCTGCATGCCAACAGGGAAATTTTTTACATTGGGATCAAAAGAGGTGGATTGTGTTCTCAGCGGTAGAGTGAAATAGTTGGATACCTAAGGGAATTAAAAAGTTTCGTTTAATTAAAGTTTTGTTATGGATTTTATTACAGCAACATACATTTGTGGATAAAGTTCTTTCCAATAAACTTGGCAACATGCCTTTATAAGATTGATTGGTATCTTGTGATGAAGATCTAGGCATTACAGACGTATTGCTATTGTTGCCAGTTGCCGCATTACTTGGTTTTATTTCCTGCAAGGCTGAACCCACAGAACAATAAATAAAGGGCTGTAAGTTATCAAAAATACTATTACAATTTCCTTATTTAATTAAAATCCTCTAAATTACCTCATTTATTGCCTGAACTTTTAAAGTGGCACTTATTTTTTGCATAAAATCTATATAGACATTAATTTGACTATAGGAAAAAGGTCTTTTGGGTGGCGTTATGGCCACCGTAACATAATGCCATTGACCATCCATTAAAGTAGTAGAGGCCACCGAGGAGGTTAAATATTCTCGTTTGGTTAAAGCCGCCACCACTATATTTCCATTATTTTGTATGAATATCTCGAAACCAGTATTGCTGCCAGTGCGTAAACTGAAATGGATATAAATAATTAACCAAATACTCTAATTAATGTAATAATTGTTTAACTTACTTCAATAGCATTCTTCTACAATTGGGTCTTTGTTCTTGTTCTCCACTGTTCTCTGTTTTAGGTTTATCCAATCGCAAAAGTATATGAAAAATAAATCCATAAGCTCCCGACATAGACCAATTTTTAATATCGGTTACTACGATACCATCGCCTGGTTCACAGAAATTAAAATATTGAGAACACAAATTTGTGCTGGTCAACGATTGCAATGAAACACTAACAAGGGTCTGGAAAAAAGATCAAGAAATATATTAGTTAACATAGAAATGTTTGAGGATAAGAAGAAAGGTAATATGTTATTGTCGATATTTGAAACTAAAGTTGATTTTTTGTTAAGTGTTGTTCCTAATCCTTCATTCATTCATTCTTTAGAATCGGTAAACTCAATAGCATAAATAGCGTATATGCCTTATGTAGCTATAAAAACGCCTGGTATTTAATTATTTGATTAACCAAACAGAGATCTCTTAGAGATCTCTTAGGGATCTATCTATCTATCTATCTATCTATCTATCTATCTATCTATCTATCTATCTATCTATCTATCTATCTATCTATCTATCTATCTATCTATCTATCTATCTATCTA